CCTCAATTTTTGTCAAAATTTTCTTGGAAAAAATTGAGGGCCAAAAACCAAACTTCTGCAAATGCGATCAACATGAAACTTTCAGAATCTTATTTTTTCTCCAAAAAATGAAACTTCAGAAAGTTTGAAGCCAATAGGAATCGGTTTACGGGTACCTCTCATACAAAATTGTCGAAGTTTTCGAATGTTTTGTCGTTCAAATTTGATTCGAATTTCTACATTTCGTCGACTGAACGAACCGGTAAACTGTTAGAATTCACAAAATCGTGATATTTTGAAAACGATTCGGATCCTTTTACCGTAATTAGATCTCCGGATTTCAGGAGGCTTTCCTCAATCACAACGAGTCTTGCCAATATTTTCAATGAAATTTTTTGTAAATCATTGAATTGTTTCCTCATAAACCTTTCATCCAAAGGTAAATTGCTATCTTCTTTTGAAGATTCACCAGGAGAATGATTCGAATGGGATGGTTCGTCAAACGTGGTAGCTGTACGATTGCGTTTCGTATGCGGATTTTGTATCAGTTGATCAAATTCGTTGTCAAAATTTTCTTCTTGGAGACTTTCATCACTCGATAGATCGCTTCCAGAGATTCTCGGTCGCTTATTTGAAGGCTCAAAATCTGGATCATCCATTGAGTTATCCGCTAAGTGATCTTCCTCTCTTGAAGTAGAACTTGAATCTAAACCCAAAACACCATATCTGGCTGGTGCTTTGCGATTTCTGCCTATGGTACCATTTCGTTCCATTTTTATAAATGGATATTAATATTACTCCGAAAATGTTGTTTATATCAAATTATTTTTTGTTTCGTATTTATAGTCTTCGAATTTATATAATTAAACAATATTTTTAATTATTTAATATTAAAACGCAAATCAATATTGATCTATTGATATTATTACATTATACTATTTCTATAGAAATCCACAATAACTTTCAACACTATGACATTAATGCAATATTCCTCTCTGACAGTACTGTCAAATTTAATATTTTGGAGGGAAGCAATAAAAATGGAGTATGACATATGAGTGTCAATAATTGTCAATATCTCTTTTAGACATTAATCAAATTCCATACAAACAAATGTCATTTTGTTAAGAAAATTGCACTGTTTAGCAAATAATATTTTTTGCTTCGAATTATATGATTTATTCAAGCTTTAATTTTATATTGCCATGGCAAGAATAAAGCATTTTGATCACAAAGCCATAAGAAATCGTGCTCGTGTACAAAAACATAGATATTTTCAGAAATTGAGAGCCCTTCATGAACAAAAGATAAACGAACAATTATATTCAGTAACAAATACGCTCATTGAAAAAGTGTTTGATGATTATTCTGAACACAAAGCTGAAGATATGCCTTGTGTTAACACATTCGAATCAATTGATAAAAGTATCGAAGTCAAAGAAAAAATAAGACGTTGGGCAGTACACCACCGAATCACTAAAACTGCACTTAATGATCTTCTTTTTATTTTAATATTTGCTGGTTTATCCTTCTTGCCAAGAGATGCTAGAACGCTAATGGGAACTCCAAAAAAGGTGCTTGTCGAAATGTTATCTATTGGAAAGATGTGGTATTGCGGAATCAAAACATGTTTGAATCATGTGTTAGCCGGTATTCAACGAAGTATGTCAATCATTTTGGATTTCAATTTCGATGGCCTGCCAGTAGCAAAGTCCTCCAATAAGGCATTTTGACCGATTTTATCCTCTATTCGTGGTAAATAGTTCATGTTTTTTTCTGCAAAATTCGAATCGTACATACAATTCGAATATAAATATTGATTATTCGGCATATTTAAATATGAATTCACAGGTTTCGAAAAAGTGCCACCTATGGTTATTGGCATATGGTATGGTGATTCAAAACCAAACCTTAACGAATATCTCACACCTCTATATAATGAACTTTTGGACGTGCTTTCGAATGGAATATCTATCAACGGGTGTCATATTGTCATTGAATTTGGCCTTGTGATTTGTGATACACCAGCAAGATCTTTTTTGAAAGGTGTGTTATTTCGCATGGTTCTGACTCAAGTCAAGTCGTAATAAGTTTTCGAATGTACAAAATTTTGTTCGCAGGTGTTGTAAACTTCAACAGCAGATACGGTTACCAAAAATGCAATGTTGAAGGTGAATACAGTACGCAATTTCGAAAGATGTCATTTCCGAATATCGACTCTGAACGTCGAACGAACATGTCGTTTAGAAATAGAAGCACACCAAAACATCACAAAGAAATGTCTTTGCTAGAGAGACTTGACATAGACATGATTAAAGCATTTCCGAGCTCCGACCCGCTGCATTTATTGGATTTAGGCATAACAAAAAGATGTATGGTTGGGTGTACGGTGAAAACGGCTATAATAGAAAATGGGATAAGAACAAAGTTGAGCATGTATCTCGTTTGTTAGAAGCTTGTCAACAATACATGCCGAGTGAGATTCATCGCGCAGTAAGAAATTTAAAATGCTTACGAAAATGGAAAGGACTTGAATTTCGAACAATACTGCTATACGTCGGAATGGTAGTATTTAAGGGTGTCTTGAATAGACAAGAATATTATCACTTTTTGTTGCTCTGTTGCGCGGTTCGAATTTGCTCTTCCGAATTTTACAAAGATATGCTTCCAATCGCGGAAAAGATGTTCAAATCCTACGTTAAGTTGTACATTGAACTGTATGGAATCCACAATATCGGTAGCAACGTTCACCTCTTAGCACACATTGTGGAGGATATGCAAAATTGGAATTTGAAAAATATTATGGATTTAGCCACATACAAATATGAAAATTGCTTAAGACTGTTAGGTCTTACAATAAAACAGGGGCACTTGCCTCTTGAGCAAGTTTCGAGGCGAATCCTTGAAAGCATGCAGTTACGCACAGAGACAAATATATTCGAAAAGAAAAAATTCGAACCTCAAATGTTGTATCAGAGCCAAAGCGGCTCAACAACTTATAATAAGATGCAAATTGCGCCTGATTTAATTTTATCTAATAGACGGGTCGGAGATTCGTGGTTCTTAACAAAAAATGATGAAATCGTGAAGATTGCATACGCGAAGAAAGAAAATAGTGAAAATCAAATATTCGGAATGATAATTGCAAACAAAACTGCATTTTTCGATAATCCAATTTCTTCATCAAAATTAAAAATATTTATATCTGACGGGAAGACACATGACAACCTACAAACTTTTGAATTAAGCTTGATTACTGCGAAAATGTTATGTTTGCCTTATGGAACAGAATTCGTATTTATGCCACTTGAACATTCTATGGATAGTTTGAATTTTAATTAGATTTTTTTACATACATTAATAGGATGCTAATTTAACACATCGACTCAAAATATAAATCTATCAATAAAAAAGAGTTCTTTTGTCGACAAATTCGAAATAAAAGTGTTTTTGAAAGCAGTGAAAAAGGAATAAAATAATGATTCGAATTGTTGACATTGTTAATTATAACTTTATTTTCTTATAAATAATGTGCACACTATTATTAAGAAATGTCTCTCGAATGTACAACGATTCGAATATACGCTGATTTGTCTGCATATGCTGATTCGAATTTATCCAAGCAATACGTTCAGAAACTGGTTCTGGACCGCGCCTACTTGCGTCTTCGTTTCATTTTCAATGAATCCTTCCAATCGTGGTACCACCCGGTTACCATTCATGCGCACGAACAATAATTCGGTTTTCGAAAAAACGCAGGCAGCGCATGAGCTGTCATCCACCTTTAGATCGACACGACCAATTCCATCGACGTGCACATCGATATTCAAATGGAGCGATGTGTGGAGATCTGGATTCGAATGAATTTCCTGCAGAATCATATGATCAAAAACGAAACAATGGAAATTTTGTCAATTTTATTGCATGATTGAATAAATGCTGCTTTTCTCTAGTAGGAACTATACCTTGTTTTCAACCATTTTGCCAGAAATTCGCCAGTTGGTGTTGACCAGAAGATTGTCCTCACCACTGTACTTCACATTTGCAATCAGTTTGCGATCACGGCTGATTGTGAAAGCGAACGGGATTTTCGCTTCATTGGTGATGCAAAGACATCCATCCTTCATTTCCGTGACAGCTAGCGAGTGGACATTGTCCGGGCTTAGCACGATTCGGCGCATATCATTTCGTTGGATCGACTGAAAGTCTCTTCCACTGAGAGTGTAATCGCCGTACACTTTAACGTATACCTTCGACATTGTCTAAATCCAATCGAATGAAAGAAAACTTATGATTTTGCGAAACAAAAAACCATTCGAATGTGTTTACCCAAATTCAGATTTCTTTGATGTGCTCACGAACAATTTCAGCTAAAATCAAAATGCGAATAGCCGCCAATCCGAATAACACCTACAGCAGTGAAAAAAACTAATGAGAATGTTGTGGGACAATTCCAGCTGTTGAATGACCTGCGACAACATATGAACGAGCATAACAACATACGGAAGCCATTCGAATGTACCACGTGTAATATGCGTTTCATTCACATAAACAGTTGGTTTCGGCATCGGTCGAGACACACCAAAAACATTCATGAATGTGAATATTGCTCAGAGTCATTTAACACACTCACCGCTGTAAAGCAACACATTCAGGATATGCACAAGGATCATCTAAAAGCCTACAAATGCGATCAATGCGCCGAGGAATTTGCTTTGCATTTCCTACTAGTGTTACACCATGAATGGCATAAAAAAGCCAAACCGATCATCTGCAGCACTTGTAACATGGTTTTCTTCAATGAACGCAAATTAAAAGCACACATTCGAGACAATCATGCGAGTATGGATCAATCGGATCAAATTCACTATAAATGAATTCATTTTTATCAATTTTTCTCTTTGTTTCTCGTTGCAGACCATTTGTGTGCGGAGTGTGGAAAATCCTTCAAAACTATTCATTCGTTGGCCAGCCTCCAGATGCTGCACACCGAAGAAAAGCCCTTTGCCTGTGATCTATGCCCAAGTAAATTCAAATGGAAAGCCGCATTACGAACTCATTCCCTCGTTCATTCTGGGCAGAAACAGCACGTTTGCGACATTTGTGGCTCATCATTCACAACCAAAGGATCGATGAAAAAGCATAAAAGTTAGTTGCGAAATGATTCAATTCGGTTCTAGCTATATAGTTTAGTTTATTGAAAGTTTACTGACTTTTTGGCTTGTTTTATCTGACTTTTTTGCAGGAATACACACCGGTGATCGACGATATCAATGCGACACTTGCTCGCTAAGATTCTATAGTAACGACCATTTGAAGCGCCACATAAGAACCCATACCGGCGAGAGACGTATGTGCAACAGAAGAATTTTTAATTTTTCTCTCCTTTAAACATTCTCTATTAATGTTTTGATATTTTTTCGTTCATTCATCATTTTCAGCATACATTTGTACATACTGTCCGCGTTCATTTTCGCAAAGCAACGATTTGACAAAGCACTTGCGTTCGCATGTGGGCCAAAATATGTATCAATGCAGTGATTGCGGTGAATCGTTTCGACTTCAAACCGAACTACGAAAACATTCCTACACCCATTACAATAAGGACGATAATTCAGATACGCTCAAAATGGAAGAGCAGCAATAATTATAATATAACATCGATTGTAGTCTGTAGTCGCCTCAATTTTTGACAAAATTGTCAATAAAATATACATGTAAATAAACAATTGTCTGATGGCAGCATGAATCCCAGCAGAGAGCCTTTAAATTTGTTTTTGAAAAATGATTCGAAAAGACATGGTGGGGATTTCGGGTGGAGTTGATTTAGCGGTGGCCGGTTTCTTGTTGAAGCAAAAAGGTATGGCGTGAAAAGTGAGAGAAATATAATAAAGTGCACAAACATACTGAAGATCTTCTCTTTTTCTCTCTCATCGTGTACAGGCTTTGATATTCGTGGTGTTTTCCTGAAGAATTGAGATTTAGTTGACGTTTCGTTACTGTTCGAGTTACTGTTCAGCCGAAACAGACTGGGAAGATGCACAATATGTCTGTGATAAATTACAAATCCCGGTTCAATGCATCGATTTCGTGAAGCAGTACTGGACCGATGTGTTTGAGTGAGTTCGTTTGGCGTTTTATTGAATATGTATTCAATTATAAAACTAAAATCTTTTGTTGCCATCACCGCAGGAACACTATGAAGAAATATCAGAATGACCAGGCACCGAATCCGGACGTTTATTGCAATAAACACATAGAATGTGCCGCATTTTATCGACACATCAAGGAAAATTTAGCAGCTTAAACAGATGCGATAGTCATTACGTCTAACATTAAAGCAGAAGGAAGATATGGATATGGTTTATTGTTTATCACTTCGGTGAAACCGATATTGACATTCTGGATGACTCTATCAACTCTTGATGAAGAGCAAAAACTGTATACTAAATTCAAGGATTATTCAAAAAAAAAAAATTAAAAATAAGAAAACAACAGTTAAAAAATGGTACACAAGAGATTTACAATTCTAGAAGTCAAATTTATTTTTGATTTTGGTAAAATTGTTTCGAATTTTTTGCAAAAATGTTTCACCGCAACCATACGTACTCACGCTTGGAATTTAAGAGGTGGTACGACGAAAAATTCGCCGAGGGTCAAAAAAATTCAATTGTAAGAAAAGAGCTAAAAAAGGTCTTGAGTTTCGAAAAAAGATTCTATCTAGTGTAAATTGCTGTCCGGAAAAAAGTGAAGAGCTAAAAAAAAGGTCAACACATTCATTTTTCAGCAAAAATCGCGTACGGTCAATTTTTTTCAGAGGGGGTCAAAAATACCCTTAATACCCTGCGTGAGAATCTATGACCGCAACCATGTTAATTTCAAATCAGAACCGAATTTGCCTCCATCTTTGCTCCAAACGCAACGAGGATTTCTGTTTTGCGTGGCATTTTTTATTTTCTCTGAAAAGTTTCTTATCCTACTTATCCACAAGGTAAACTTCTTGAGTGATTGAATTTGTGAAAATAATTCGGGAATAAGATTCCAAGTTGATGATGGAATTTCATAGAGCGTAGTTTCAACGCTGACTTCCTCAATATGATTCAACTCAGTCAGTATCGGAAATAAGCTATTTATTCCATCCCATACATTGGTTAGTATAACAGATTTTAAGTATTTATTCTCAGATATGAATTCGAGAACATACGGTTTGATGGTTTTATCTTCAAAACATGAATATTCAAAGCGTTCAAGTTGGCTGAATGTGAATGGAATGTTTGTTATTTTGTGAAATGGTAAATTGAAGTCAATAACATTTTCGAAATGATATCGATCAGCATTTTTAATATTTGAATTAAAATGCATTGTTGGTGATAAACGTTTGAGGTTTGGTAGACTGAGATCTTGAAAAATAATATCTTTTATGCTGTACAAATTTAGTTTCAACTCTTCTAGCTGTGGATTGAGTCTTAGCATCTCTTTAATTTCATTTTCTTCAAAATTCGTTGCTCTGTTGACATTTAATTCACTCCTCTGGTGAATTCTGCCTCCAAAAAGAGACAGTTTTTTCATCTGTGGTATACAAATGGGTGTAAATTCTTCCGAAAAACAGCTAAACCAGATCTGTAGCAAATTCAAATTAGGGAATACAGAACTGAAAGGAAACTCACAAATTGGCGCTTGATAACCATGCAAATCGATGTTCTCAATATTAATGAATGGGTTTCGTATTTCTTTGAATAAAATCATGGGTGGATGTGTCAACTCTAAATGTTTCAGTGTCTTTGAACAATACTCTGCGAGATAATTTTCAATTAAAAATACAAATTCTACAGGCTCGTATCTGCCCTTGTAAGTTGAAAAAAACAAGTGTGAAACAAGATGGCCGAAATTTCTGAGAAGCTTCAATGCTTTGCCACGGTCATCTACATCGACATCTGGTTGGACAAACGAGCCTCTGGAAAATGCATATAATTTAGTATTTTTTTAAAATATATGCAATGTTTTTCCTAAATACCTTTGAATTTCCGAAATTATATGTAATCTTCCTTTGCCATATTTTCGTCTATAGACACCACAAGCTGCTGCATATAGTTTTTTACTAGTATCCGCCAAACTGAGTAAATCCTCCCATTCGAAAAAGTCAAAAATCAGTGTCTTACAATCATCATCGATGGTTGTGAGATTCAATGGTTCTAATAAACTGGATGAGTTGCAATTCATTGTACTTAATTACCAAATTATTATATATTTCATCTATTAAAAGCAAAATATTGGATGATATTCTGGAAAAAAAGACTTTATTCCTCAATAGAGTGAAAGACAAATGTCAAAACTGACATTTCATTCAATTGGTTTATTTCTTTTGTATCTCTCCCCCTATGTTTATTACACATTATGTGTGTATATATATTCACGCATGCTCATATGCTATTCACTCATATGAATTTGAGAATCTAAAGAATCTCGAATGAGTATTTTATTTGAATATTCATCCCACCGTTATTTCATATTTAATTGAAATTCTGTTGCTTTCATCTTGCTGTTTTATTTATTTTATAGAAATGTATGATAAATTGTGTTACAGTAGAAAATTTAACATAACCTTAATTCAATTCAAATGTTAAATCTCGCAGAAAATGGGCAATTTATGTGTTTTTACCCTATCACTGCAAGAAACAGCTAAATGTTGTACTTAAATAGCTCTTCGAAAGCCTCGGCCTCCCCTCTGGCGCGTTGCCATGTAGAGCCGAATGTAAAGAGTCCATGATCTTTCACGAGAACGCTATACGTAGTGGCATTTTCATGGAATGCTTTACGAATTGCGTCCAGCAGTGCATTTTCGTCAGACACCTGTTTAATGATTGGCAGAAAAACATTACCGTATTTTTCATTTGTTGCTCTATTCCAGATTGCCTGCGTAAAGAATATATTTATGTAAAATCTAAATAGACTCGATTTGAATTTTCTGTACAAACAAACCTTTGTGTTGACGTTTCCTTTAGTTTCGAACACACCAATTTTGTGTTTTTCGGCAAATCGCCTTGCATTTTCTGAGTGTGTATGGACTACAGCCCGACAATTATTGATTGGAAACTCGAATGCACCACCACACAAACTATCACCAATCAATAAACAATTATTAGTAATCCACAAAAATTCGTTCAAAGAATACAAAGTTAACTTACTCTTTGAGTTCAGTCTGAACACTACCAATGAAAATTTGTTTGATTTCGTCCTCCAAAATTCCACAAATACCTCCAGTCGGCAAGTAAAATATGTCTTTTTTTGTGTGAATAGAAACACCGCCACCATTAACCGTAATTAACCCACGTGCATAGAGAACTTTCGACACATCGCAAATAATTTGCTTATTGACCTTGACAAAAAATTTAAAATGTAATATTTTTCATTTTAAGCGTATACCAGTATAATGGTTAACTCACCGTTGCTTCTGCATCAAAATCAACTGACATTTTTTACATACAATTATTTTATTATCAATCTTTTAGGCTGCGTTACTAAACTCTTACTCGTGAAGTGTATGTAATGAACAATTATGTGTAGTGACTGTTATCAACTGACTTTTTTCCAATAGGGATTACAATTTGAAAATTTGACAACTTGGCCGTATTATGGTGTCAAACGCGATTGATGTCTACTTCTAATACAACACTTGAGTTAAATCGGTTCGGCTAAATGTACCATGTAAATAAACAATTGTGAGGTTATGTTTACGTTTTGTTTTGAAATATTTTCATTCGCCTGATGGCAGCATGAATCCCATCAGAGAGCCTTTAAATTCGATTTTAAAAAATGATTCGTAAAGTTGTGGTGGGAATTTCGGGTGGAGTTGATTCAGCGGTGGCCGGTTTTATGCTGAAGCAAAAAGGTGAGGCAATAAAATTTCAGGAAAACTGTAAAAAAGTGTACAAATATTCTAATCTCTCTCTCGCTGTGTGTGTAGGCTTTGATGTTCGTGGTGTTTTCCTGAAGAATTGGGATTTAGTTGACGAAACGGGCTATTGCTCAGCTGAACAGGATTGGGAAGATGCACAATATGTCTGTGATAAATTACAAATACCCATTCAACGCATCGATTTCGTGAAGCAATACTGGACTGATGTGTTTGAGTAAGATTTTTGGCATTATTTGTATTGACAATTTCAATCGTAGAACAGAAATAATTTTAATCGGTCGCCACCACAGGAACACTTTAAGGGAATACCAAAATGGTCAGACACCAAATCCGGACGTTTATTGCAATAAATACATAAAATTCGGCGCATTTTATCGACACATCAAGGAAAATTTGGTAGCAGATGCAATAGCTACCGGACATTATGCCCGCACATCGTTTGGACAATTTCTGGAAGATATTCAACCAAATCAAAGTACTTGGAACAAAAATTGAAATTTGAATGAAAAACTAAATGTCGAAATTGATTTTCAATAATCCAATTTTTTTTTGCCAGATGTAAAATTGCTACGAGCCGTTGACCCTCGAAAAGACCAAACATTTTTTCTGTCGCAAATACCTCAAGATGCCTTACGTCACACCATGTTTCCAGTGGGTTCAATGCTCAAATCAGATGTAAAGAGATTAGCCCACCAAATTGGACTCGAATCAATCGCACAAAAGCGTGAAAGTACGGGTATTTGTTTTATTGGCAAGCGAAAATTTAGTGATTTCATATCAGATTATGTGGATCCACAACCGGGTGATTTTGTCAACATAGAAACTGGTGAAATTGTAGCAAAACATCGTGGCATACACAATTATACAGTTGGTCAGAAGATTTTGTTGGGTGGACAAAAGGAAACGCTATTTTCCGTTCGAAAAATGTGTGATAATAGAACTATTTTAGTGGCTCCTGGTACAAATCATCCACGATTATTTTCGGATCTGTTTTATACGGAGAAACCACATTGGATCGATAGGTCGCCATTCGATGGGAATGCGGGTGTTGCAAAGGCTGAATTCCGCTTTCAGCACGGCCATAGATTAGTTACGTGCGAATTTATTGAGACCAACGAGCGGGGCGGTGGTCTTTTAGTCAAGCTGAATAGCCCAGTCAGAGCGATTTGTGCTGGACAATTTGCAGTGTTTTACGATGACAATGAATGTCTTGGATCAGCAAAAATACGAGCAACTGGACCTTGGGTTAGGAATACCACCAATGAAGAGGGTATTGAAAGTGAAACTAGTGATGATGAAACTATCCAATTGTCAAAAACAGGGAAAGAAGAATCGACGATGAAGGAGAAAAAACATCCAGAAAGAGATGGCGAAAAAGTTTACAAAGAAGAAGGGGCAAGCTGAAAAAAATTAAAATCAATTGCAAAGTCTAAAATTGACTAATGGGCTTTGGAACATTGTTTTTGTTCTTTTGAAGTACAAGAATAAATAAAAACCAAACACATTTTATATCAAAATCTTAATTAGTCTCAAATTTATTTCGTATGCTTAACATTAATATTCTTGAAGCGATCGATGTTGGAAATATACAAGCCACAGGCTACTCGTTATTTGTTTTTGTTGTTGTTATTATCATTATTAAAGTTTAAATCAAAGTCTTCGTTTTGTTGTTGTTGTTGTTGCTTATACTAAAAAAATTATCTAAATTGATTGTCTTAAAAAGCTAAATAAATAACGATGCGTGTGTGTGTGTGTTGGTTGCGTTTGTGTGTGATATTCGAATTGATCATATTAGCTCAGCGCATTAAAACGGTTAATCCATCCAAGAATTTTGTCAAATCGGATTGTTTGATCTGGGCAATTGAAGTTTCGAAGAAATCCAGCGACACCGTTGCATTCGTATTGGCGGCCGCTTGTTCGAATGCTTTGCCGAAGAAATTTTTCGTTGCATCCTCAAAAACGGGTGGAATACCGATCATCAGATAGATTCCCAATTCTAAATCGACTGGACAGCACACAATTAACGGAAGTTCGGTTCCTTTTTTGCTACGCGACACGGACACATAACTTTCGAGCAAAAATTTTGTCAAAATCGATAGGCCGTGAGGGCAGGAAAAGTATGGATTCTCCTCGTTCAGGACAAAATACAAAAATCAATAACTACTAACACTGTCGATTATAATACGAAAAGTGACAGGAGATTGATACAGGCGACCCTACACGGCATACTCATCAACCATGTTGAAATGGTTATTGAATGTAGTCACTAATACAAATACATAACAACAACAGAGAAAATATTTGACAGTTCAATTGTCATTTCTCTGTTGGCAACCGTTAGTTCGCAAAAACGCCACGCAGAGGTGCTACTGGTATTCTGTGCTTGTGTGTTCTAAATTTCCTCCATAAGCGATATGTAGGAGTTAGTACTCTTTGACAAAAATGGACCGGCCGAGCGAACTTGATTGGCTTGCAACGCTGTTTGCACCACTTTGAATACGGCGCATAAAAAATGTTTGGCCTGTTCAATGCCTGCATCGAGTATTTGTTTATTTTGACGGGATTGACTGTCGAGCGCTTCGAGGAAGCAATGTTCGGGTGATCGATCTTTGCGAATCGATTCGAGAATCGCAATCGTTGCATAGTGAATGGGATCGCAAATTGTCCCAATGTACGTAACGACATAGCAATTGGAGAGAGCATACGTATCTTACGGCACACAGACTACCTCAAGATTAAAGATAAGCTCATGGACAAACAAATCAGAGCTCAAGTGCCTCAAATGTGCAAGTTTGCAAACAAAGTGGCTGATCAATTCAACAACTCAACCAGCCGTGCAAACTTCATCTCGTCGGTACGCAGCGAACAAAACCAAAAATTTAATATTAAATATTGACAAATTGTTATCTTACATCTCTACAAAATGTATAGAAATAATGATTTTTATCCGTGATTTTTACACAAACTTTAGAATAAGTAGCAATATTAACTGTGATATAGCCATCCATTGAGTTGGTGATTAACTTTTGACCTGCCATTAATTTATAATTTATAATGGAAACTACCGTTTATGTTGATGTATTTGCAAATATTGTAAATTAAATTTTTTTTTCTTATGTCTTTCGGTCTCTACTAAATTACAAATTCATAACTACCAACAGGGACTTGTTAGATTAGACGAAAAACCTTTCTTCAATGTATCACCTCTGGATAAATTGAATGATGACTTTTGCAGTCATTAGGGCCGTCACTACAGTGTTAACGCTTCAGTTGGTCTTTCATTTTTTACACGTTTAAGTTAGGCTATATTGGACCGTTTACATTCCGATAGGGAGTGACATACATAGTTTTTTTTCTTGTGGAGCTGTCAAATTATGTGTCTGTCAATGTAAAGTACATGTGTCACGTTGTACTTTAAGCATTTGCATATCTGTCACTTTTGTCTTGAATTTTCAAAGCAATAAACAGTAATCGGGTACGTGCTCGTCATTATTATTAATCAATTAGTGTACAGATATTTGAAATTTTATTATCACAGTCGGCGACAGCAAGCGCGAGTGACGAAAGCACCTCTGTGCTGAAAGTCGAACTCGCTATATATACACGCAATTTCGAACTTCTTTCCTAAGAGGCCATCTGGTATGAGTGAAGTATCGCTAGAAAGCCCCTGGCTCATAGGCCCAGAAAATGCATTCAAACTTGATCATCGACCAACCGCCTCCATAGAAATAGCCACTTGAAAATTATGTACAATTATCAGTTTTTCCCATTTACCGGGTGTTAAACGCGGCCCGTTCATCTTGAAACATGTTTTTTCTGAGTCTACTTGTCGAGACCTTTCCAACAAGCCCAAGAACGTCGAAATTGGACCATCCGTTCATGAGTTATGACAATTTAAAAAATTTCTTTGGCGTCTCCATCAATTATTCTGAGATAATAGTTTTGTCTGTGTGTCCGTCCGTCCGTCCGTCCGTACTTTTTGCCCGATCTTTTTTAAACTTTCAGGCATTGAAGCATATCAAAAACTAAGACTTTTTTGTTCCGACATTTTTTGATTTGGCCGCCATCTTGGCCTTGGCCGGCCTTCGAAAATTCAAAATATGGGCTTCTTTCCAATGATCACTGTGCCTAGCATAGTCGACCGATTTCAGACTTTTGGGTATCGTTGGAAAGGTATTGAGGCCAGCTTTCAAATGACATGTATTTTATTTTGAAAAAATTGAGTTGGCATGGTCTTATGGGCAGAAACCCAAAAAAATGGTGACCTGGCCTTGCATAAATCGACCATTTTCTCGAAAACGGCTCCGACGATTTTTTTAAAAATTCTTTGGAATTTAGCCTCAAGTTAGAGCTAAAATTTGACATATAGATTATATCTGGGAAAACTATGTTTTTTGAGATATAGCCATTAGAAGTTTGAAAAAACATGAAAAATCGACAAAAATAAACTAAAACTCATTTTTGTTGCCGTTAACAATGGCAAAATCATAACCAAAGTGTTTTTGCGTTCAGATGAATAAAATTCCTTCAGATACCAGCCCCTCACCAAGTCTTTTTATTCCACGCAATCAACAAAAAACACAAAAAAGTACTTTTCATGAAAAAATCAAAATCAAAAAAATTCATCATGAAAAAACTAAACATGTGATAGTTTCTTAGTATAAAAGCGATATGTAATTTCACCAAAACAAAATGTAATTTTATCTGTCTGTCCAAAAATCAAATTTTCTAGCAAATTTTATTAAACGAAAAAAAAAAATTAAATTTTTTTTTCCTCCGGCGTGCGACTCGAACTCGAGTCCACACGCTCATGAGTCTGCTTTCGCACCTACGCGCTGATTTTGCCTTATTCAAAAAGGCGACAATGCTGGTTTTAACTACAACATTTCATGTTTCATTTTCTTCACTTTGTGTTTGTTAAGGGTTAGTTGGTTTTGTTGAGAAAAAAAAATTCGGGTACAAATCAACTGATATCAAATAAAAAAACTTCTTTCGAAGTAATTCCTCGTGACGAGAGCGAACACAAAACAGCTGATATCAATTTTAAAAAATCATTTCGGAGCGATTTGGATTTGCTTTTTTTGCATTCTTCCGACTAATTTCAGAATCGCTCCGTAATGATTTTTTAAAATTGATACATTTTCAGTGTATTATTATATTAAATGTGCCGTGAAAAAATCTTGGTTTAATGTTCCCTCCAGAACAAATGGCCTTAATATAAAATCCATTGCTCCTAAAATTCATGATTCGATTTTCATCTGTATTATTTTATTATTATACTTATTATTATTTATTATTATTATATATTACTGTTTTATTCACCTCAAAATCATTTTGCATCTCCTTTATTCATGTGCAATTTAGGAGCAATGTAGATTTCATGTGATTGTAGAAATGTGCTACGGTATGTACAAAAATGTGCCACGGGTTGAACATTTTTAAAATCACGTTGAATCTACATTGCTCCTAAATTGCACATGAATAAACGAAATGTTTTACATTAACCACTAAATAACACAGTCCAACAAAATTCGGGTTATGGAAAAATGACGCACAATGGCATATCAACATGACAAAATGGGTCCAAAAATCAATTTTTTCTATTGAGAATATCTTTATGGATACTTCCAACATCACTTCAGATAATTCAAGCATGTTTTTTATTATTTGAGTGAAAAAAAAATTATTTTTTTTAGAGAAAATTTGATTTTTGGACCCACTACTTCGGATTTTGTGGACATTGAGCCAAATAATGTCATGACAGGTGATATATTTCAGATTTGGCTGTACGGAATTTTAAAGCTGACGTTCTTACCTAGAAAATATGGATAATGCGATC